TGATCGGGGACAGTCCTAGGCTATCGATATTGGGTCGATTGGGAAAACCCTAGAGGGCATGGGTGCAAGTGGTGGTTGAAGCATTGGTCACGGTTGTGAAGGTGGTGTTGCATGTTGAGCCAACTAGTGCAAAAGTGGGACAATGGCTTGCATCATTCCTGTAAGGGTCTGCACTTAGTACATGAGATTTAGAAAGGCTTTGACAACCATGTGTCCCATGCTCACCCTGGGAGGCAAGAGTTCAAGGTTATTGAACATGTGTTAGTAACGCCTCGATGTTTGAGTTGAGATGATGCATCCACATAAGGCAAGGAGGGCGACTATCCTCGTTACATGAAGATACTGTGAGAGGGTTCACGGGTGAACACTCTTGCGACATTTAAGGTCCTCTTTCTAGTGCCAAAATGTTATGGTCTGAGTACCGTCGATCGTGAGTCGACATGGCCTGGTCTTATCCCGAGGGCACAAGGTCATCCGAGGAACCCTCGGGGTAGCCCTAAGCAATAGTTGACGTAGCACCGTGGTGTTTAAGATGGCTTCTGAGGTGATCTTCATGATGGCTTCTAAGGATTCTAAGTGGTCTCAAGGTCGAATTGAGGAGGATTTCGGTCTCATTGGTGGATTCCTGTACAAAGGTTAGTGTCGATGGGAGCTTCTTGACTTGACCCCTTCGATGCTCAAGTTAGCTCTTTGGGGGGTTGTATGGAACATGAAGGATTTTCGAAAAAAAGGTTCGACCCATAGGCAAGCATCGAGGGTTGGCATTTATACATTGGTGACCGAGGGGGTTACTTGTAACCATAGTAACAATCTCCCTTTAGCATTTTGTCCAAGGGAGCGATAAGCCCGAACAACCTCGGTTGTCATCTACAATGGCCGATTGAGGGGGAACATGTTTGAATGATCGTCCGGGGACCACTATCCACGGTGGCCAATAAAATCAGCCCAAACGGTCTCCTATGGACTATTGTCCATGGGCCCCAACAAGCTATTATTGCTCCCACATCGTTGCCGAGTGGGGAATGACTTGGCTCTCATCCTTCAAGTTGGCGTTTCGATGGTGGCTAATTGTCGAGCTGATTTGGTTTGCTAAAATAATTTTCTATCAAATACTAATATATTTATTAAAAAAATAATTATGTTTGATAGAGTTTGAACCTTCGTTTGTTTTTGTTTTTGACATTGATTCGATATGGTTTTAATAGTTATTAGCATATTGATATATGGTACACTATTATATATTATAAAATTATTTTCAAGACTTATGTATATATATATATATAACGAAAATCGATTATCAAATCGATATGTATTGATTTGAATAAAATAATAAATATTATATAATTTCTCATGATAATGATTTAAACGTTCGGTGATGCATCCCCCACCACACAAAACCTACGTACGATTTTTCAATCACAATAAATGATTTCTAGAGGGAGAGTTTGGGGGTTGGGAGTGCCAATTATATGAATAGCTATTTAAGAAAAGGAAAGCATGGATCAAGCAATAATACAAAAGCATTGGTTGGTGGCCTCTTATTCTAAGATGGTAGTTGCACACCAATCGCGAGTTTTGATCGACAACATTCCATCTAATATTTCATAAGGAGAGAGAGAGAGAGAGAGAGAGATATTTAGCATACAACGAATACTTTGTGTTATAATGATTTTGAAATATTTTAACATTATGTTATATTATACCATTCTCTTATTCCATGCAAATGTCCTTTTGGTAAAATTTATGTTTAATATTTCAACTAAATATATGTTATTATTCGAATTGGACAAAAGTTTTCTTTACCTATTAAAAATTATACGAAGAAAATTATCACATTGATGACTCTATGTGATCCAAAATAATTAAAAGATTATGATTTTATTATAATTATCATATGTTCCGATGGTTTTAATACTGAATTATTATTCAAAATAATATCTTTTTGACTATTAATGTCGACTATAATGATTACCCAATTCTAACATGTGAATTCATTGAATTTTTACCAAAATATAGTGATGAGATAGATGTTTGGTCGATAAAGAATTGTTATTTTATTTTATTTTTCATCAAAATTAGAAACCGCGATTTACGATAGTATATTTTTCTTTAAAATAAAATCGAAAAATATATTAAGCCTAAATTTTGATGTAGATAAAATACCATTAACAGCCCATTGAATGTGTCACTATCTCTCATTGCCTTCAAAAAAACTTCACCAACAACCTTTCATTATTTTCTTCTTTGCTTCCCCTCTCTAAACTTCATCAACAAGAAGGTCCCCATGGAATCATATGCATGGAATCAATTATCTGGCAATGGTGAGGGTAAAAGATGGAATCATAAAGCATAAAGCCACCATGCACTATTGCACTCTAAGTTGAAGTGCCATCTAAATTGCACCATTAGAGAACATTTCTTGCATGGTTCACATGTTCTTGGTTTTATCCAAATGGTGCAATTGGGATAGAGAGAGAGAGAGAGATCCTTTCTTTCTTCTTCTTTTATTCTTTTTAGGTTCAACATTGTTATGATCATGAGTGGGGTATAACTTAACCTAATTAATTGGTTAAATCAATAACTGGATAAAACAATGAAAAAAATTAGTAAATCAATCAAAATTTTCCATTAAAGAGAAAATTGAGAAATAAAAATTTATTATTTATGTAAGAAATTATTATTAGGTTATATGCAGAGGGATTAAAAAGGAAAGAAAGAAAGAAAGAGCAAATAGTCAAATATAATGTACTTGTTTATTATATACCCATAGTTTACCCTCCGGGAGTTGGACGGGTAAGGCGGGACCCAAATTTAGGGCCTCGAGAATTCCATGGAATGTCCCATCGCTAAATACCTCATCATCGTACAGTTTTGCGCAACCCGTTTTGCGTATACCCCTTACCGTACCTTCCTATTAGTGGATAGACAAAAGCAAGGCCCACGTGGCGAAGCCACAGATCCTCTCAGGTACGCGTGGGAGTGAATCGATTCTTGGACAATACGCGAGAAAAAAAGATCATTCCCAAAATGGCCCTCATCACAATCCTCTTGCGCAGCGCGTGTCTATCCACCGCTCCTCACGTGTTATATGGAATGACAAAACTACCCTCATCTTCCTATCCCGTTCTCTCTTCCCCCTCACCATCATGGTCATCAGGACGGCATGGATGCATGCATGATGATGACGGACGGCAGGACATGATGGCATCCATCATCCGCCCATCGAGCCCACTGTGTGCCGCGATGGAGATGGGAACGAGGAGCGAGCGGCCGCCGTTTCGTGGCACCTTTTGTTGGGCCGTGCTTTGTTGACGCTGTCAGCGTTTTCCCCACTCCGTGACCGTCAAAGATAACGACCGCAGGAAGTTTCCGCTAAATATTTTTTTGGCCCTTTTTATAGATTATATATTTTATATCCTTAATTTCAGTTTTCTTCCAATGAAATATCTCTGATTTTAGAAAGAAAATTAAGCGTTTATTAGTATCATATCCTAAATATTTGATCGACAATGGATGAATTATATCAGAATATTTGAGATGTTGCATGAATCCAATGATAAATAATCTTAGGATTCTCCATAATTAATTTTGCAAATCTTTTATGCTCACGTTATTGGCAGAGAGTAGAAAAGTCGAATCACAAGATTTTATTCCAATGTGCCTTTTTGTTTTTAATGGCCAAATTTGGCGACGCTAATAAACGCATTGACTAATATTGAGATTAATTGACTGCATTGAGAATTCCTAAGTCTTAGGATTGAATGGTGTGCTCAACAATCTAAGCATTAGAGTCAAACCCACTGGGATCTCAAAGTCAAATTGTGGTGCTGCTGCCTTATTTGGGATGGGTTTGACTGCCTACAATGTGATTCTTAGAGAAATAGAACACCATGACCATCTTAAAATTATTTCTTTTCTCTATAGACACATGCAATTGGGCCCCAAAAGAGGGCCCATGGGCCAAACTTGTTGCCGATGATGTCACATATTTTTCTTTTAATCTTATAAATCTCTTTATTCTTCTTTTCTTCTTTCTCATTGTATTATCGTTAGTTTTCATTACTAATCAACTTTGTCCGTACCGTTTTTGCTCCTAACATAGCTTGCCCTTCCTCACTTACTCCTAACGTTGTCGTTGTCACTTGCTTTGAACACCACCCTATGTCCAATTTTGTTTCTTGCGTCTTGAGGGTGGGTGGTGTCACACAAAAGCGATGAGATCTCGTGATAGAGCGGAGGTGACGAGATGAAGAGAAAGGGCAAAAGCATTTATGAGATTATAAAAAAATATATATACCATATAAGAAAAATAAAATCATGAACACTTTTTGTTCGAGGAATATCCATTGTCACTCTAAATAGGACATACAAAGGCCATTTATTTCACCCAAGTAGATCATTGGGATCTCCATGAACAGAATTGAACTCACCAATCCTTTAGGTTGATTAATTCTTCCGAATTATTAGACAATCTCTTATTTTCATCCCAATCACCTTTTAGATTCAAAGAGGTTGTAAAGCCACAGTTGACTATCAAAGAGGAGAGTGCAGATCTCACATAAATTAGTACCAGAATGTAGCATTTTCTTTGCTTGATCGAAGCTTGAGATCATAAACCAAAACCAGTAGTGGAGGTGTACCGATGATCCAGAAATATGAACACACACACCCTAGCTATGAAGACCATCGCTTCCTTTTCTACCTATCACCTTTTGAATTCGAAAAGGTTGTGCGGCCACAGTTGACTATCATAGATTGCGCATCTCACATAAATTAGTACCAAAAGGTAGGCCAGATGCATCATCTTCTTCTTTGCTTGATTGAAGCTTGAGATCCTAAACCAGCATCGATCAGTGGAAGTGTACCAACACTTGCAGGAATACATGTGAGCACTTCCTTCGACCTTCTTGCTGAGGAATTCCGTGTGGGCTCTGTGGACACGCTTTTGGTGTACCAAATCTCTCCTCCACAAGTCAAATCTTGGAGACTATAAAGCCATCGCCTTGGCCTGCTCACTCATTGCTATCATAGACATGGCTTCCTTTCTCTACTTGCTCTTCTTCTTCTTCTCTCCCTTCTTGTCGTGCTCACTGGCCTCTTCCCCATCTCCATCTCCGTCGAGCTTGATCCAAAGCACATGCAGCTTGACATCCAACTACGACTTCTGCGTTGCGACGCTGCAATCCGACCCGCATAGCCTGAAAGCCAACGACGTCAAGTCTCTATCCACCATCGCCGTCACGATGGCTTCCGCCACGGCGAAGAGCACTTCGAGGTACGCCACCGCCCAGGCCAAGAACGCGACGGAGGCTGCGGCCGCCCGGTCGGGGTTCCGGACCTGCGCCGAGAAGTACAGGTACGCCGGGGAGGCGCTGCGGTCGGCGCTGGACTCGCTGGCCGGGGAGAACTACGACTACGCGTACGTGCACGTGAGCGCGGCGCAGGAGTACGCGAGCGCGTGCGGCAGGCTGTACCAGAGGAGCTCCGGCGTGGCGTACCCGGACGCCATGGCCGAGAGGGAGGAGGACCTCAAGCGCTTGTGCGGCACTGCCATGGACATCATCTCTCAGCTCGGTTGATATGATGATGGCACAGCGACCCATGGTCCGTGACGAGGTCGCGATAGCAATTCTGTTGATTCAATCTTCTTTTGTGTCAGTGGTGAAAGCTGTTCTCTCGTGTCCTTCAATGGTGACAGTGTGGCTGTGTTTGACTTTGTGCACCATGAACGAATTGTAATGGCTATTATATTAATAAGACTAAACGGAGGGCGCCTTTTGACTTCACATCTCTGCTCTTCGAGGAGCCAACATATGGGGAGGATGATGATGACGGTGATGAAGACTGATGAGTCTTAGTCTTCCTCCTAAGCCCCCGTGCGTTCGTCTTGTACTTTGAGCTCGACGATGCTTCAGATGAAGCACGAGCTTGGCTCCCTTCCCTGTTTAACCCATACATTACGAAGGACAGAGATTGGATTTAGCAGGAAAGCTATCTCGTGGAGAGACGAGGAGCTTGCAGATGGTTCGGTGGCCGTCGTCGCCGGACGCATGTCTTGATGTATGTGGGTGCAGAGTTTGGGTACCGATGTGGCGGGTATCGTTTAATATTAATCACGTCCGGTGGGGCCGCCGAAGATGCCCAAAAAAGACACGTAAGGCGCATAATAATGTATGAGTCGGATAGAAAGAGAGGGTTCGCACGACGGAGGGAGTGCGGAGGAGAGAAGGGGCGGTGGGAACCCTAAATCTTCGTCGCGGCGATAAGAGGTCGGTATCTTTCGTAATCTGATCCTTCTCGTCGGAGGGGCAGAAGGGAGGTTCGCGCAATCTGAAGGAGATCTCCTTTTCTCCTGAATCTTAGCTGTTGTGGAAATCTGGGAAACCTAAAGGGTCGTTCTTCTTCTCCTGAATCTTAGTTATTGTGGAGATCTCCTGGTTCCTCTATCGGGTTTGTTAAGGAGTAATGCAAAGGGAGGGAAAGAATTAGTCTTTGGGTGATTGGTTGAACAATCGACGTGCAAGACACGGAGGGAAAGAGGGAGGGAACATAATCTGAAGTGATAAATCGTCTTCTTTCTCGATTGCGGTAGGAAAGGAGTGCTATTATATTAGTTACTGTGGTGGATCTCTGTTTTCATTGATTAAATCAATAAAGGAGTAATTTGCATGGGAGGGAAAAAGATTATCTTTGTGAGATTCTTCGAGCAATTGGCAACGCAGGATATCTTGAAAATTTAGGTTGGTCTTATTTGATCAATAGGATGATATTATCCATTTTAGATTCAAGACATATTGGAGATATAGGTCTCTCTCTCTCTCTCTCTCTCTCTCTCTCTTTGCTTTTCTTAAGTTGTGTGGATAATTTTAATTGATTAATTTTATAACTTTATGGATGCGCTGACTGATTAGTTTTGTTGGATCTGGAAATTTCTTTTCAACTTGATTTGATTTTCTGAGGGAGCAGATCATCAATCTTTTGGTATTCGATGCCATAAAAAGAAAACCTAAACACTTTTACAGATAGGTTTTATTTAATATGGTCGTGTTAGATTTCCCATTTGCTTTAGTCTCCTTTTATGGACTTTTAGGTGTATGTTTGTTCATCTTTTTGGCTCTTTCAAGAACATACTGGTACAATATATGGTTTTATGCTGATTCTTCTAAGTACGATGTAAAAGAATTTGTTGAACGTGGTCAATTGGAATTATGGATTGTGTTCCTTTGTCGTGGGTCATGGTTGTTAATGATTGGAAATAAGAGAAAGAAAGCTGAAATGGTGACTAAAATTTGGTGGGATCATGGACAGTGATGTACAAGTAAGTTGGCATGGAAAATGTGCTCTGCATGTTTGGGGAGACCTCTCTTATGACATCCAAATTTGGTTTCTTTTCTCTTTTCTGGAAGGAGAGTGTTGGTGGTTCTTTTCGGACTTACGGAGATGTCTATCAATGCATGGTTTTGTGGTGCACAGGGAGGAAGGTGTTGTTGTCGTTGGTGGCAGTGGTGGTAGTGGTGGTGGTTTGTGTTGTGCTGGTGTAGATCGACTGCAACCATTGGCATAGAGGAAACACGTCTGAAGATGAGCGAAAGCAGCCGTAGTCCTCCGAGGGATCGCAAGATGCGAACAGAGCGAGTCTCATATCGTGATGCACCATATAGGAGGGACTTCCGCCGTGGCTCAAGGTTTCTGATTGCTCAATCTTTCAGTTTTATGCTACATGCTTACTATAGTGGTACATACTGTTCCATAGTGACAGATAAACTGATCATTATCATGGACAAGGAGCTTTTTGTTCTCTGCAAAAGGACTGCATCTTTTCAATTTAGAACTTAGTATGCTGCATGTGTGTATGTTATTGTTGCATATAATAAATGGGCCAGGGACATCCCTTAGATTTTTTTGACCAAAGATGCCTAATTCCACAATTTGCTTCATCCTTCTGTGATCACCAGTAATGAGTAATTCCTTGTATTGGTGGACTGTATAGATTATTAAAGTGCATGCGTTATACTTGTATGATCGTCGTGATGGTTTACATGTGTATGTAAAATACCAATGCGATCTTTTTCTTGTTGGTTACTTTTTTCATTGTATTTCTCTGGTGCACATTTTGACATCTCACTGATATATACTACTACAAAACGTATAATGCCTTGTTAGATGGTCTAAACCAAAATTGGTTTATTATTTGGTGTATTAGTTGGTAAATATCAGCTTTGTTGCCCAGAAATTTGTACTAATCATATGCTTGCCTTAATATTCTCATTGTTCATACAAATTATGTATGTATAGGTGCTGCATTAACACTTTTTTCTTTAATTATTAGTTGATTTTCTTATTGTTGTATCAATTACAATTCTGGTAGAAAAAAAAAAGTATGTGAGTATTGTGAGTAGTCGAAGGTCTTTCGGATTCATATTTCTTCAAATGATTTTTCGCAAAAAAATATAACTATTCTTCATGATTACAGGAATCTTGATTTGTGCAAGAACTGCAAACGGCCTGGACACTATGCGAGAGAATGCCCAAATGTGGCTGTCTGCAATAACTGTGGCCTTCCAGGGTAATAATCAAAATCTCTCATGCCCATGATTTTTATTATATATAATTCACACCAGTCACCATGTAACTTCTAGACTTGTACATCTGACCTTGCTGGTTCTTGATGCTTCCGTTTACTCGAGTGAAGTGCATGATAATGAAGAAAATGCACAGTATGTTGGGCAGTCACCTTCTGCGCTAATAAAAGAAGGAATCTTGTGATATTAAATCTGGATATGTGCTGCTATAAGATGCATTCTGATGTGTAAGATATAGTACAATCTGAATGATTTTGTCATTGTTATCTGCATTAACCGACACCAAATGGTTTTTGCCTCTGTTCAGTCATATTGCAGCTGAGTGCACTACAAAGGCATTATGCTGGAACTGCAAAGAACCTGGGCATGTGGCGAGCAATTGCCCCAACGAGGGCATCTGTCACACCTGTGGGAAGACTGGCCACCTCGCAAGGGACTGCTCAGCTCCTCATCTTCCTCCTGGTGACCTAAGAATCTGTAACAATTGCTACAAGCAGGGGCATATTGCAGCAGACTGCACGAATGAGAAAGCATGCAACAATTGCAGGCAGACCGGTCATTTAGCTCGCGACTGTCAAAACGAGCCCGTCTGTAATCTTTGCAACATAGCGGGGCATGTGGCCAGGCAGTGTCCGAAGGCAGGAATGCTCGGCGAAAGTGCCGGCGGTGCGTTTCATAGCAGATTGCGAGATGTCGTCTGCCGAAGCTGCAACCAGATTGGCCATATGAGCAGGGATTGCATGGGTCCCCTGATGATCTGCCACAACTGTGGTGGGAGGGGTCACATGGCTTTTGAGTGCCCATCAGGGAGGTTCCTGGACCGAGGGTTTCGTAGGTTTTGAGGAACGGATGGCGAAGACTGCCAAGGCACCCGTTTTGCATGAGCTTTTGAACCTGTTTGATTTGATGGATATTAGTTTGATTAGAGAATGTTATTTATGCAGTAGATTATTCGGCTTGGAAACCTTGGGGTGATCGTCTGTATTTGAAACCGAGTAACTTTGTTTAGTCATGTCGTTGTCGTATTGCTGAAGGAAAATAGTCGTCGTTTCTGGATCTCAATTTGGATCTCAATTCAAATCCTATGAACTTATGCATCCAGATGATGATGATGATGATATATAACATAAGATTCATGCATGTGACAGGGTGGGAATAATTCACTGATGTCGTAGGTTACAGTTTTCTATGGTCAGCCTGTGCTTGATAAGGAAATGATGAGGCATTAAGCTTGATTTAGCTCCCTATTTATATGGCTACAGCTAGCTAGCCATTCAATTGACAACAAGATAAATGGCTTCGAAGAGTAGGGTCATGCTGGTTCGTGGCAATTACGACTTGAGTTCGATGAACATCGAGCTATTTTGAATTGACTCATTATTACCTCTACTATCATTATTACCATTATTTGATTTAATACAATAATCGACTCATTAATGATCTGAATGACTAACCCAAAATGTTTAATCCATGGTAATAATATTTGACTAATCTGACATTAATTTGATGGACCCGAACCAGGATGCTTCAAATTCAAACTAATATTAGCATCCTCATCTGGTATCCATAAACCAATGCGAGTCTTAGGCTTCTTTCATGCAGAACTATACTAGTATAGTTATTACGATGGACAGGGAGAGATGTTAAAGGGTCGAATTACATGTAGTTAGTTCTCTTTAATATTTTAAAGGTCGATCGTTATATTTTTAAATTTTATATTGAAATCCTTATAAAACTAAACATCTAAACTTCATTTATGCTAACACCGTTGGTTTTACCGATAAAAGTATAAAAATAATAGATAAAAAAATAATTTCAACTTATTTTCGATAATAGAGTAACGTCACTCTGCATCGACACCGATGCAAATGTAGAGCGACAGTCTACTACGAGCTGGAAGCAACCTTCCTTTGTTGGGCATGCAACGTGTCCATCCACGACATTAACTTCCTCATGACTTATAATGTTTACCACTCAATGCTAGCTGCGATGTTTCCAACGCAGGTCCGTGATGGGTCCACCCCCTCTACACTTCCTATGATCTCGTTCCTGCTACCTCCCCTTCGCACTATGTGCCCTCCTTGTCCTCTAGCTCTTGCCTCTTGACCTCCGAGTCCACAACGATGCCACAGGCGAAGAAGCCCGTAGATCTTCGACGGACAACCACGAAGCAACGACGTTGAGTGGTTGAGGAGAGGGTGGAGACTATCTTACGAGGCTTGGAGGATGGGGCTGCGAAGTGGACGATGATGCATAGAAACGATAGCCCACATTAGGAAACGATCGCGAACTTGCCACTACAAGTGGCGCTCGCAACTGCATTGTGGTTCGCCATCAAGCTTCGTGACCAGGATGCGATAGTGGAAAGGGGTAGTTGGGTGACACTCTAGTGATCGAAGGAGTGCTCCAGAGTGCTTACAAGGCTAATCGTTGTTGTCGCATCGCGAATCGTCGAGGTTGCCAAGCGTGAAACCCAAGTCACCGACACAATTACCAAGCGACACCAACGCACATATAGAGCATCGCGTCGTCCTCTTCCTCTTCTTCTTTACCTCAACTCTCGTCGTCACTCTCCCTCCTCATCCACAACAACCACCCACGACCCCCAACAACATCATCGTCCGTCACCATCGAAAACATAATTAAGATGTTGAAATTATATTTTTACCTATCATTATCGATAAAATCGATAATGTTATGATAAATGTAATTAAATATTTCACTTTAATAATTATAGATATTTCGATGTAAATCTTTTAGGTATAAAGACCGGGATAGTAAAGAAACTAAAAAAGATAATCTAAAATTAGCTCGATATTAAGGGTGGAAACTTAAAACCAAAAGTAAATCTCATCCATGTTTTATCAGATACATTAACAAAATAGAAGTTCTAATAAAAACGACAACCTCCGTCAACATTTTGTAGAACAGATCAACACCACCACACAGTCCACACACATTACCAATAAGCCAATGTGGACTTCAAAATGCCCATTTCCAAGGTTGTGTTTTCGGCTTAGAAAGTGCATATATAACTGTACATGGCAGGGAGACTGCTACTGCATCATAAAAGTTTCATATAGATGCTTTGGCTCGAGGACAATGTTAAGGAAGGAAGTCAAAACAACAATTACACATCAAAAGAAGAAAATACACATGGCCAAATTTCAGAGTTGACAATATTTTCATTATTTATGTAGATTCACTGATCTTTTTCTTGTATGCTTCATTATTTATCTGGAGATGACATTAATATGTGCCTTCAAAAAACAGACAAGAGGACCAACCTATTACTAAAATTTGTATCTGTTGTCTGTAGGTAATCAAATCCACCAAACAAACTATACACATTTATCACCGGTTTATAAAAAAAATATATGGGCCTTCTAAACTGATCAAAGTGAAGCAACATAGACATTATTATTGCAGGCCTATAGCAAACCTTGACATTTCAGTAGAAGGTGAAAAGTAACGAATAAATCATTTGTCCATCAAAGCTTTACAAAATTTTGAGTGTGAATCAGAAAAGCTTTTACCGAGAGTAGCGGTGATAACATTGGTTAGATTATATCATCCGTGGGATGTCCTTACATCCTTACATATCAGGGATGAGATGGACAGGCACCCTAGTCATGAGTCTATATTTCTCATGTCCCGAAAATGAAATGTCCTTGGATAGAGTTATACATTAAAATGAGAACTGATGTGTCCAAAAAAATGAGGTCACCCATATACAAATTCACGAATGGCATACCATGAAAAACTGCTACATTTTTAAAATAGTGCTACCTGAAAATGCGGTAGATCAGTTCTCCTTCCACTTGTTCTTGTATCTAAGAAATGCTGTAGCTGAACTGTCCCTAGGTTGCGCACGCACACGTGTAGACCTCCGAAGTACGTTTTCCTCGAGTAGGACCTTCTGAGCAATATCTTTTGATCTCTTCTGTAATGCCAAGCTAAATAATACAAAGCACAAGAGGCATTCAAAAGTCAGCCAATAATTTAGAACAAGGTCAGTATGTAAACTTGCTTAAAGAGAGATTCTGTAGATGGTTATGTTTTTCATAAGTTCCATGTAATGGTTATGGATTATTTAAATTATAAAAAGAATACAATCACAATATACAAGCAAACAAAGGTAATTAGAAATTCAAAAGTCAAATCAATAATTTAGAACAAGGTCAGTATGTAACAAGCATGATAGAGGATACACAATCAGAAAATAACAAGGATACCTTATTCTATTGTAGTATTTTTCAAGCTGCCTTTTAAGGCCTCTTTCCCTCTCACCTTTTGGATTGAGCGAGCCCAAAAGTGCATCAAGCTTATACATAGATGGCATGTAAAGTCAGCATCTTAATTGGAGACCAAAAAATGGATGTAACATAATTACACAAGTCCACAGAATGATCACCTCTTCCTTAGTGGAATAGTAGCCCCACTGCATAGAGTCTGAGCTCTCAACAAATAGTCTTCTTTCACGCCGGAAGAACCAATACCTATTGTGGTTTCTATCTTTCCCTAAAGAATTAGTCCGCACCGATAACTTCTCAATTTCTCTTTCAAGGTGCTCTTTCTGTAGCATTGGACAAAGTAAAATAAACATAAGCAAGCATGTAATATTCGTTCTTCCAAACTACTTATGCACATTGAGTCACAAGAACAACCACCCACGTGCACACACCAACGAAACACAATCATGCCTGTACATAAACACATTCACATGCACATGCAAAAAGACACAGTTGAACAGACCGTGGCTTCAGGCTTCGGAGTCTCTTTGTCTTTATCCTTTCCTCTTCTTTGGGCCTTCATACCTTCTGAATTACACCCATCTCCCATTCTCAGCTTCTTTGCTGCTTCTGCTGAGATGTAGGAATAATGCTTTTTTTCTCTGTCACATGAAAAAGTAAAAAGCGTGCTCTTTCAGAATCTATAATACAATGAAGATATTAGTTATATCTTCTTAGAGCATACCGATTTTCTGCAATATGATTTTTATCAGATATATGGACCTCATCAACATAATCTACATATGATTCACTTAGAGTCATACTGTGATCATTCCTGCTGCCATTTTCTACTATGTTTCCTGCAGCTGTTCCTTTATTGTCAGAATTTTCCATTTTCAGCAATTCTTCTTTCTGCCTTCTGGCTTCATCCCTTTTTACAGCTGCAAGTGCTTGCTGCTGTTCAACCCGTTCCTCTAAATTAACTCTGATAGCATCAGTTCCAAGAGCCTCCGCAACCAGTTCCCTCAATATACGCAGCTTTATATGAGCTTCTAGAAGACCATAATGCCCACGTTTGATAGTTCCCACATAACCTGATAGCTCTTCACGATCTCTCATCTCCACAAAATCACATAAGAACTCAGCCCAGTTGATTAGTCTGATCTGAAATTTATAAAATGTCAGTAAGCACTCTGTTATTTCTGCTAGAAAACTGAAATAAAAACTTGGTGCAGTTGATCCACGAAAGAAAATATTTTGTCAAAAATCTTGCTGCAGAAATCTAGTAACTAGCAAAACTAATTCACCTTTGATTTCCTTTTTTTGTCCCTAGTGACCAAGAAATAGTCACCCTCATCCTTGATGAGCAGTTGCAGTATCGATGAGTGCAGTTCTACTATCAAAGTAAGATTGCTATCCTTGTGACAAATTGCATTCTCCAAATCATCAAGACTGAATGGCCATAAATGCAACAATTTGCCAAAGGTGCAACAGAAGTCCCACACCATAAGAAGGTCTCCCACACAGTTCATTGGCACATTAAACTCCAATGACAAAGGAGGTCGTTCAGTAAAAATAGGATCATCAGGGGCAGGGAACACTAAAAGGTCATCAATAGGATATCTGACTGGCTCAGCATTTGGATTGTCTTCATCCGTGAATATGTAGACCATGTAAGAAAAATAAAACAGAAAATTCTTAAATTACTTAATAATCCAAAAGACAAAAAAGACTAAACAGATTATGCAGTTCCATACTGACATACATTACAAGAATGTCCAAGTTTCTTGAAGATACCTTTCTTTATTTTTTTGTCTGGTCCTTCTAAATTTCCATTTTCAGCTTCTTTTCTTTTCTTGTTGATTTTGGAATTTTGAAAATCCTGAGGATAATGTGAACCTTTGGAGCATAAAAATGACAGAGAAAGCAGGTATAAAGATGGGGTTAGAATATTATAGAAATACTTACCCACTTCTTCTTAGTACTCCAAATCCTTCCATTTTGAAGAGTAAGTATATCTCTCATTTCTTCTGGAGGTTCAGTCATGATCCCGTGCTTCTTAGCAACATTTTCATGAACCACCCATGGAGAAGTCTGATAAGTTGATTCTTTAATGAACTCCTTCAGTACTCTCCTACTAAATGGCCTCTTCTTGTGTATCAGGTCTTCAGCTTTTACTATAGAAGAGTCGATTATCTTCTTATCTTTGTCAAACCAACCTACTTGGTATTGGACAGTATTTCCATCATCTAAAATTTTTAGAATTTTACATGAATAAACAGAGTCATCTTTCCTTCCCTGCAATTCTAATCCTTCAAAAAGGCTTTCCTGTAACTTGTAATACATTTCATTCACAAGATCATTTAAGGTAGACGTGCCTGCAAAGAACACAGTTCATAAATTAAAATGAAGTAGAAAAAAGAGCATGGAATAAATATTCAACAACAGAATAATTCCATAAAATAAGTTTCCCAAAGAAGATTCCAGAGCATGTAGAACACTTACATTCCACTTCAATAATTTGCCTAAAATGGATATAATACTAATGCAGGCTAAGTAACAGGGATGAGAAAAGGCCTTCGGAGAATGTTATTCAATCACCATCGGACACATAATCCATTAAATTAACCAAAGTACCATTTTTTATTTCCCGACTTACACCACACTGTCAAATCTAACTAACAGGTGGAATAGCACCCAGAAAATAAAAATAATAATAAATGAATATAAATCTCACATGTATACTTCAAAGAGTGAACACACGCATAAACATCTATACTCCCACAAGAACTAGTGAACACAGCATGAGAAAGAAGTACATTTTCTAGTATAACTAATAGGTGGAACAGTACCCAGACAAACAAAAATAAATAACAATAACACTCACATGTATATCTCAAATAGTGAACACATACATCCAAGTATGTGCTCACTATTTGGAGGTTGTGTTTGTAAGAATTTGCTAGCTAAGACAATGAGTCAGAAGTCTTTAGCAACCAGCTGCAATTTTTCTACACTACTCCATCCAAGTATCTATATTTCTTCTGATAACTATTTGTCCATCACCTGATTGAATACTACCTGTTTATAACCACTCACACTTTGGCAATGGAAACCCATATCAGATGTCCCTAACAACATGTTGCCTACTAAAAAGTTCATAAAGTCTTTGTTTTTGTTTCCACTGACCATATCAAGTTGTCGACATAAAACCACAAGTGTTAATTAAAATGTAGGGTCATTTGCTATTTATAGCTCACAAGGTATTGTAGTTCATTCAAGATTAATGTCAGCAGATGATACCAAATCCCATAAAAATGATTACCAAGAAATGCAAGTGGAACATTACAACCAAAATGAGGAAATATAAATTTTTAACTATCACTAGAACACCACCTCAAAACACCAGGAACTTGAGTAGTCTTTGCCTCTAATTGGATTGCCAGACTTCAGTTCATCTCTACTTCAACTAGCTATCTAAGTTCCCGAGATTAATGAATATAAATGCATTTATCAACTATAAGCATATTCTGAATTCTCAACAGTTAATTAACCAGCTAAAATGTTTTTTGTTAAAAAGTTTTGCATCAGAGTCTTTAAGTTCGCATATGATACTGTCGTATTTATAGGTACCACTATCTGTCCGACCATAATACTTCCTAGACAATCAGTCTCTTGGATTTTCTCTCTTTTCTCCCACCTATATACTACACAACTATTTCAAGTCACAATGATTATAGCACCAGATGCACATTACAATATCTTTGTTAATTTATCTTGAATTTTGATGATCACCTTAATAAATTAGACAACAGTGCATAATACAAAAAGGAAAATATAAAACAAACCATAAGGTGGTAACACAACGTGAGTCATCAATGGATAAACACTCAAAACCAGCATACAGGACGAAAAAAATGCTAATAGAAAAAATCAGAAGAAAACAACCATCTTAAAATGCATAATAGAACATTATCATCAAAGAACAAGAAACTGGAGTTAGAAAAGTTATCGATTGGAAGAAATAACTGCAAGCATTGTTTCTGTTCTTACTGAATTGGATCATGTGAAGCACCCGAGGCATTAAATCCTTAGGGAACTGTTGAACATTTTCAGTGGCACGATGCTCAGACACCAAAGCTTCCTCGTAAGTCAAATTTGACTTCCCAGTAACTTTACATCTCCACACTCGTTGGCGATAAAGATTCACTCTCTTTAAATAATCTCTAGAATATGTTAAAGAAAGAGCAACTATTGGCATGTCATCATGAAATACAACAAAGTTGCCATTTTAATAAACAAACATCAAGAAATCTGAAGTGTCATTACTTGAGGTTTATTTCAAGATGCCAAGGAAAGCTAGACAGATATTTTTCTTTACTTTGCTTGTTCTAGACAGATTTTTCTTTTTTTACTTCAAATTCAGGTAGATAGACTGCAAAAGAAAGAATCAGAGAAAAGGATACTCATAATCTCTGAAAAGTTCCTTCGTGAACCGAACTTGGAAGACCGGCTCATGTGGGTCCAAATCCTTTGGTGCCTCCGACATGGATAACGGTTTTTTTTTATAGAGAGGCATGTCTGTTGTTGAATAACTTTCTTTGAACTATATAAAGATCCTGAATCGAAAAAAATATAAATCTCCTAACCTTCAAACGGCAAAAACTTCAGCTCCTGCAAAAAAAAAAATGACGAATATGCTTTTCAAGTTTGTACAGGCACGCAGAGACAGAAGGAAAAAAAAAAAAGAGAGAAAGGAAAAGACATAATAAACAATCACCAGTCTCAAATTAGTATCTTTTCTTATTGACTAAATGCTAACTATGCATTGGAAGAAATGCTAAATACCGAACGACCGTATCATGATAGAACACACAAAGTAACAAAACCCTAACACCAATTTTCTAAATTGTCAAGCAAAGGCAGCCACTTGAGGAATAGATACTGATCGCAACGAAGACTTGCCTTCGGCAAGAAGATACACATAAGCAGCACATCGAACAAATAACATCGTACACGATTCAATCCTCGAATATTAGACTTGGCTCAAAAAGGAAACATCCGAATACAGGATTTCAGTCGATCAAGGAAAGCACACAAGATCAGAAAGATCCAATAAGATAACCAAAGAAATAGACAAAATTAAACCCTAAATCATCAGACACTTCTCTGCTAAGCATGTTATCGGAGACGCAATACGAAGCTGTTCGTGACGAATCCACTACGAAACAGCAAAATCCAACAAGATTCCAAAGAAAATCCGAAAAGGGGAAAGAACATTGAGAGTGTAACCAACTCCAGATGACCGAACGACGCGGAAAGATTTTGACCTAGAATTCGCGAAAGCTGCCAGGTTCCGGCCGCGAAGAGGATCGAAAGACAGCTCTCGGAGCGGCGATGCGAACGATGCAGAGTGGGAAGGAATAGGGAAGGGAGAGGGAGAATCCGAACCTCCGGGGATTCGGCGGAGAAAGGAGAGGGGAGGGAGAGGAGGCAGCGGCAGCGGCAAGGGGTGGGGGGAGCGAAACCCACGACGCGCTCGTTTTCGATCCCCCTCTCTCTTTCTTGGTCTGGGGAGAAGCGCTCTCGTTTTCGACTTATATGCCCTCGCTCGCTTCGTTTTGAAACGATCGCTACTTTTCCTTCCATGGTTTTTTGGCCCCCACACCGAACAAGAGACACCGAAATGGCCCGTCGTGGGTTGAGCTTCCGTCACGTGTCCCGGAGGACGGCTTGAGCTGGACCACGAGCTTCCTTTCGCGTGTTTGGGCCGCCATAATTCCAAGTTGGTGGGAGATGCGAGCCCGGCCCACTACCAGCCGCCAACTGCGACATATTAATTCGATTCAATCAAGATCAAAGCTTTTTGACAAATGATCTCTCGTAAAACACCGATGCGGTTCAATCGGACCGAATTATATGAGTCAATCATTCTGACCGAGACCATGGGTTGGACCTTAAATAGTGTATACATGACATCGACATATTACTTAAGGACACGATTTATGGCACGAAACATAGTGGGCAACAAGACCTCATTATTGGTCAACGTCTGAAGGGATTAATAGCTGCTACAGCGACACGAGAACAGAAACAAAGGATTAAAATCACACCGCTCACATGATGAAATATGTATATATTTATAGCAGTGCTTAAATGACAACCTATAAAAGGAGGTCTTTCATCACACCGACAAGCGGTTACTCTTTAATATGTCGAAAACCTGAAAACAACACCAAATGCAAATGAGCAGCATGTACCACATACAATCTCGACACAGCAGCATACAAAATGCAAGAACTCATCTTGTTCACGCAAGAATTGTAATCTGTCTTAACATTAATAAGCACCTGTGATTAGCAAAGAAGCTTTTTCTGACACCTTTCGAAGATTTTGTAGAGCTTCTCTGGAGAAGCAACCAGAGGAAATCTCGAGTATGAGATGGCAATGAAGCCAAGGTCTGTTCTATCTGGAACAATATAATCAACTAAATATCTGAAACAAGTGCATCCACAATAGTAGCATGTAAATATGAACACCATTTTCAAGCCAGAGAAACTCAAAACTGATTTGGAACTTATTGCATGCTTACAAGCTGCATGATGCAATATTTTCTGTAAACAGGAGGTGGTGGCAAGTCTGATAACTAAATGATTCTTATTTCACTTGTCTGTTTCATGAAGTTTGAGATATCATCATAGTTTGGTGAACCATTTAGAGTTTCTAACTAAACCAAGTAATTTGGTAGAAGTCAATGAGTGAAACAAAAAAATTTGGGGAGAGCACCTATCTCCGGCACACTAAATTGACAAAAGAAACTATATCAGGCGGGGTCTCTTTGAACTGATGAAGCAAAAAGGTCAGCGAAAAGGCACATATATTGATCACAATGTAAATTGCTTTTAGTCTCAAATACCAGACATTTATGTAGGAAAGACTATGAATGATGGTATAGCCTAGCAAGGTTTGGAGAACACCAATATATACTCTCTAGGCTGACTGGTCTTGAAATAACAGTGATATACTCTTATAGTACATAAGCTATGTCATCTAGGAAAATATATTCAGCAAGTAGTGACAAAGGATGAATCGAACAGAAGTTTGGTCATGGGTAACAACAATATATGCTGGATGGTTTATTTCCTGTTTCTTCATCAACTACATCATATTCTCTGGCACCCTTATGCACAATTAAAAAAACTAGCAATTTCAAGATGAACTTCATCAAATGTTATTCTGTATATTAATTGCACAGACTAGGCAAATATTCAACGTGAACTAAGCGAAAGCTCAATCCATAACAGTATAGTGGCATGACTGACCAGATGACATGGTGGCCTGCAATAATTATCTTGTTACTAGAGAAAGAATGTGATCCAGTATCCACAAATCCCACCTACATAAGAAAACCATTAAGCCAAATATAAATCTGACTGAATATCCAATCAATTTTTCAAAAAACAAGGAAATGAGGGAATTAAAGATAGGTAACTCTGAACAACCTATAACTGCTAGGTAACTCAACACTTGCATCACGGACTGTCATGCGGCCCCATGCTGAACATATCATAATATTCTATGCATAAGGGACTAACACTTTACCAAAAGCACACACATGTATGTTGGGCAACACTGAGATGTCTGTTGGCGTAGACCCCATTCTGCAACACATAACATAGCAATGATGTTAAAGAGCATCAATTCAATGTCATGCAAAACAAACACTTTAGGATCCATCAATTTGATGTCCTCATATAGAGATATCACAGATGCGATAAGGCTACTCTATCTGCACTTGAATATGATGGCTTAATGCATGAGGCCATTGCTAATACATGCAGCCTCACCCTTATAAGCAGAAACACTGTTTCTATGACTCGAATCTTGGTAATCCATCTTGTCAAGGAGGAAAGTAACCGCGATACCAAGGCTCATCCTCTCCATGTGTACTCGGATCAATGGCATAGTCCGATGATATAATCTTTTGGCGTGCACCCCTTTAGATTGTTTACTAGAGGGAAATTGCACATTGTAAATTCCAAGATTTAATCTATCTGAACGTTAAAATACTAGCAAAACTTTCAACATGTAACTAAGAAAGCAGATGAGAAAGCCAACACATGGATATAAACCAAGAGTTCACAGATGAGAAAACCAGCATATGGCCATACACCAAGGGTTCCGACAAAGGATAAATTTCCAAATCAAAACAAAACATGCATCACACATTTGCTCAAGTGAAGATTTATTTTATCGTTCTCGAAATTGTCCAGGTATCTCAAAATGGGACAAAATAAAAACAAGAGGAATGGAATGGGTTTACAAGCTTTCCACTTGACAATTCTATCAAATTCAAAACTGGAGCCATAGAGCCAAAATATGCAGATGGAAAATAAGCTAAATGAATAAAGGCATTTCTTATGGTGCTATTATTCTCTCAACATTTTTCTGTCCATGGAAGTACCTAACGCTTGGCACAACATTTTCTGTCATGATGATCCATCATGACAGTTTATTATGAAGAATAGTTTCTTCGGATCTTTGATTACAACTATTTATTGATTAAAAAAATCAAATTTACCTACAAAGAGAATAAAGAATTGATATGCAAAATCGTTTACTGTAACAAGTTTGGACTTGGGGAAAGAAGATGAAATTTCAAGAAGAAAGAAGCTCGTCTTAATTTATTCTAGAAAGCAGCTTAGCTTAATTCATTCGGCTCAGAATCCTGGCATTTATCCTCGTGTTAACAGACTAGGACCTGATCAGGAATGATCCGAGACAAGTGCCTTTCATTCAGAATACTTAATAAAAGAGACGGAAAGGCAAGAGGGCAAAGAAGAAGAAAGAGGGAGTAAATATGAGGAATAACAATATGCTTGTTACCGTCATCAACAGAAACGCCAAATAAATCCATTCGAGAAGAGTATCGTCATTAATGTGGTCAGTTCAAGAAACCCTACGGTGCACAAGTCTCAGAACTGAAATCCATCCAGACGATCAACTCCGACAAAGCCTCGGCTGCTCCGGAAATCAAAAGGGGACGGTAACGAAACCCCATCCAAGAAACCCACAACTCAAAGAGTCCACACCGAGACTGTTGGAGCCCGCTTCTTAGAACGATCAAACGCAACGCCGAAAGAATCTCGATGAGACTCCCTCAAGGGTTTGTCGATTGCTTACGCAGCGGAAGCGACAGATCATAAACGGAGCTTGAGACCGCCGTCCGGCTCCGCCGTCGCCAAATTGGCCCACCCATGTGTGAACAGTCCCGACGCATGAAATAAATAAACATGTATATTGATTTATCGGACGTATCGCGTGCGATGCACGTGACCAGATTGGCCCACCCATTATTATTTTTATTTTTATTTTTTACTTTTATAGGGAGAAATTTTTTTAACACATAATTTATTTTTCCATGTCTAAAAATTTTCGACTATTGAAAAATTCATGTATATATATATATATATATGTTTTGAATAATAATGTGTAAATATATGGATTTCATTAAGAATTCTCAAAGTGCCACAATTTAGCCTGCAATTAATTGTTAGAGAGTCAGTCTTAAAAAAGACTTATCAAATTGGAGACCACATCATACACAGCCTATGATTTCATGGACATGTAATGAATGGTCCATTGTTGCAGTTTACCAGATTGATTATTTGAATTTGAGTTCTGAATATTGACCAATTGAACATTAATCAAATAGACATTGTAATGGATAAAGACTTTTACTACACCTATATAACCTAAATTGACATCAAGTTGAAATGCATCAGCTGAAAAGTGCTTCATGTAATGTCACATAATTGGGAAATTGTAGTCCCTATCTCTTCAATTTGGTCACCATATATCGATTTCATGAGGTCGCTCCCTCGTATATGTGCATTATTTTCTTTCTTCATGGCCGCATCCACACACGATGTCTCGATACGATTCGTAGTCCCATCGACCCCTCCAGACATCCTGCTACTCCAGCCAAACCAGGATCCAGCACCCATGACGACACGAGACTGTTGGCCCCACAGGCCAAGAGCACCCCCGACGCTGCGAAAACCCACCCAGGGAGGTTCTGTTCCTCCCGGCGCAGCGGATCCTCTCCCGACACTGCACGTCGTTCGGATCTCATGTCACCATCACAGGACTGAGATGGCGTCGAAGCCTAATCCTACGATGCAGTCGCAGTCTTTGCGGCACCTGCAAGTGGCTTCCATGCATCCACCTGTTTGCTTTCCCTGCACTTTTAGCTGTCAGAAAAGCGAGATGCGTGGCCTCCTGCTACCATGTCTCTTTGATCTTCCCACAGAGCAGTCAAAGTTGGAACAGCGTTCTCCGAGAAGATGAGGCTCGCTCATACACATTCACGGTGCAGGTGTTATGACTCGATCAAAGTGAAGCAAAGAACCCCCAACTCTATACTTGGATGTATCAGATGAAATCTTTCTTGCGTCGTCTCACCTTGACTTCGTTCTTCTGCAGGTAGACTTTGGCTTCAGGAAACCCAACTCGTTGATGGAGATCACAAGAAACTGTCGGTGTTTCTGCTATCTTATCAAAATGCTATTTAGGAGCTTTATGAATGCTGTTTCTATGTATTATTGAAGTGTTTCTGCTGTCTTCCTCTCGTGTCTGTTTTCACCGCAACCAGATGGTGCTGAAGTCTAGTGTTGGAGGAAAGGGTAAGCATTCATGCATTAGCAATCACGTACATTTACAGAACTTTTTGGAGTGAAAACACTCGGTCATTCTCGTCGAAATCAAGGACGAGAGTTGATGCAGAGTCTGTGAGGGAGATGGAATAGTTCACAGAAAGGGATCCCACAACGATCCGTGCTGTTCCCACTCCTCCAGCTCGGTCACCTCAGTGGTCCAGGCGGGTGGGCTCAGGAGCAGAGCCTCCGCCAGCTCCGCCCACAACCTGGGCGAGTCGAGGCCGAGCTCGTCGTTCCCCAGCCGCTCCAGCCCCGCCGATATCCCCGCCCTGGCGGTGGTCCTGCACCGGAGCCTCGCGGCCGCCTCGAGCGCCGCCGACCGGATGTCCTTGGGTTCCGAGCTCCTGGGCCGCGGCAGCTGCTCTGCCGACTCCGGAAAGTTGAGCTGCGCGTCGCGCCCCTTGAGCCGCAGCGCCGCCACGTCGTGCGCCACCGCCGCCATCTCCGCCGACTCGAAGCTACCCAGCCAAATCCTGGTCTTCTTCCCCGGCTCCCGGATCTCCGACACCCACTTTCCCCACTTCCTCTTCCTCACCCCTCGGTACTGCACCGCCAAGTCCGCTCTCATCTCTGCCAGCTGCTCCATTGCTGATCTCCGCACCGAACTGCTCAGCTTGCTAACCGGATGATGATGATATGAGATGCTAAGAGTGTTCATGGAAGTATAAATAGGCAACGGGGATGAGCTTAATGTACAGATGGAGCTCGCTTAGAGGGGGAAGTGAGCTTCCTAGTAAGTGCACGAGATGGGTACAGATTTGGTGGACTCCTCCAATCGCGATCCTCATTCGATCCATACTCCTATTCGATATTTTACGCACCAAAGCGAAATCTGAGCACTGAAACATATAGCACAGAAGGCAGATGTGGATTGGAGGAATTCAGAGGACTGCGCATCGCTGGTTTTACTGCACCTGCGCCCCACGCACGTAAGGAGGAGAGATCTGAATCAATGATTACGTGGTCTGTCCAGATCTTTGGATTTATTGCATGCATTGCATCAGGAGAGGAGGAGGGATAAGGTCTGCTGTCCCTGTTGAAGTAATTGGCGTGACAGCTGGATCGTTCTCCTGCTCCACTGGCGTCCATTGACGAAGGATGGAGAGCTTGTCGGATGGCTTGGGGATGTTCCGAGGCGAGTGGCGAGGGGGAGTGAACCGGCGGAACGGCGGGTGGGGCCCCAAACCTTGACCGTGGCACGGAGGGTGTACTGTGCCTCCGTACGACCCCGGCCGTCGTCTTCTTCGGGAGGGAGATGCCACCAAATGGGTTAGCGACTTGGGGTCCGACGGAGCCACATTGCGGAAACATAGGGTCATTGTGCTTGCGTGAGTGCAGGTCCAGCTCAATAATGCAAACTGAACACATTGATGATGAACAGGACATGGTTTCGGCTACGGGGTGGCATTAACATGGATTCGTTCAGATCCGCTGCATGATAAATCTGCATCCTATAAATGCTACGTGAACTCCACCTGCATGCCATTTGGAGGCATGCGGAGGACACTGAGGGCCTTTAAGTGAATCCATTGTCAAAAGAAAGGTTCCGCAAACATGTAGCAATCAGAGTCAGAAGTGACGCGAACGGTGTGTGATGTAGACATCGACTGTGATTGCTGGAGAGAGGAAGAAAGAAGCTTCCTTGCTCTTCATGCATCGATGGAAACAGCTGCCCTTTTGTTGACTGAAACGGGCAAATTGCACTAAAGGGAGCTCCCATCGCCTCTCTACAAAAGTGAAATGGAGCTTTCGAAGCGGTTGGTGGAACTGTGAGGCGTCAGTGTTCACTTGTTGGTAACAGTAGCAGTGCTATTTGTCATGGTGATGATGAAGGAACAGCCATATCAGCGAGGGAGGAGATAAAGATGAAGGGAAATGGAGCACTGGGGAAGCCAATCGATGGCTCTTTCCTATTTGTGATGCATGCAGAGATCTCGAGTATGAAGTGTACTGGATTCAGGACTTGTCCTTTCAAACATGCCATTGCTAGTTTCATGGCTCCAGGTTTCATCCTGTAAAGTTGCAGTGCAAATGCTGGCGATCATCCAAGTTTGCAGCCAGCGCTGGGCACACGAGAGAGAGAGAGAGAGAGAGAGAGAACTTGTTTTGATTTTTTGAATTGTTCAAAAAGCTTTTCCCCCACAAAAGGAATCGATTGTTGCGAAGAAATTGCCTCTTCACTTGTATTTTCTACATCAACCACATAAATACTCTCTCAATTCTTCTTTCCTTTGGCACAGAGATTATGTTCAGATTTGATCGAGCACAGCGGTAGAACACCATCACCT